CATCATCAAAGTGTGAGCATTTGCTCGGAGCATTTGGTTGTGAAGACCTGACTACGGGCATGCGAAAGGTCGCCGTGCGGTGATGGAGATGACCTGAAGTGTTGGGACAGCGCAAGGCCGAACTGTGTGGTGGGTTTGGGAGCCGGTGGAGTGTGTTTAGTTATGCTGAATGTGGTAATCCAAGGAAATGTGTTGTGCTAGTGTTCTCGTGAAATGGGTCACTGTAAATAACGTATGATGAACCCTTCCTTGATTGAAATGATGCGTTGGTGAGCCCATCTTTGATGTTTAATTTCTACTTTCCACTGATATTTGACCCAGATGTAACCCCTTGACCCAGTGCTACCATTTCATTTCATCCGTTGAGATGCCTAACTGTTCTACCTCCAGCTAAATTAACTGATAAGATGCTTATTTTTCTTGAAATAAGTATAGCTGATTCGGTTTAGTGGCATTGACCTTAACCAACCCTTTGCAACGGGTTGTCATCTTTACGTGATCCTGAAATGAAAGTGCTAAAGTACTTCAAACAAATCAAGCACAGATTCAGTTCTAAAACTCAAAAGCCTAAAAATTTATTAAACATTCTGCTTAGCTTACAGTGACACATACAAATAAAACTTGAGCAGTTGGAAACGAATCTTACTTTTTTGAGGATCTTCTTTAAGAAACAGTTAACAGTAAGATATTTTGTTAAAATAACCACAGAATTTTAGGTTTTGTGACAGTAGAGATGCTTCATGGGGCTCTGCATCTCAGTACCTATGTACTTCAAATCAGTGCAGCTGATGTTCGCCATATCAAGTCACTGAAATCCGCTTAATGCCGCCCTAGTGCAAGCTGTGCACCTCATAGCGAGGTCTGTGTCCCCAGGGCTAACTATCTCATAAATATTTGTTCCATAAATAGTTGGTGGTTTCGGTACTTCACATCCATAAATACCGTTTCATACAGAAATGAGATTTAAAGTCATATCTCACTGATTGCACATCATTTGCGGCTACTTTCAAGCACTTTTTGGAATGCAGGGGACCTGTGACTTGGAGTGACTCCAAGGTTTCGATGATATGAGTGCGATCCCTCGCCTCCATTGGAATGTCTTCTTTGAAGTGGAATTCCTCCCCAACTGCTTCTACTTGTACAGACACAGGGTAGAGGCTGAGATTTCTGACAACTAGTCGACGGAAGCACCAAACTCCATTGGCCAGGATCCGAGAAGCTCTGGGATGTTTGCTGTACTCAACGATGAGCAGTTGGTCCTCATCTGCACGCCAACGACTGGACTTTTGTTGCATTGAAGAAAAGTTTGATGTAGATAGGATGAAATCTTCCCCACGAAGGCTGAGTTGGAAGGATTTGGGAGAGTGTTCCAGCGAACAGGAGGGTAATCTCACGAGGCTATCTGGTTCATCGCCGTATTCAATCGTTACGCTGAAATGCGAACACGCTCAGTGTTATTGCTCATTCCATATAACAATTAGGTTTTTTTTCTTTATTTTGTCAAAATAAATCATCAGACACATTTTCAAAGCTTA